GCTGAAGGTGCCGTAGGCTAGAAGCACGTTGCGCAGCTGCAGCGGCAACTTCCCCTACTGTGCAAGCACCAGGGCGGGGGGCTCAATCCTCGGCCCCCACCCATTCCATCCCTTCCCCCAAGCCCTCACCCTTAACTCGCATCTTCTCCCCCACCACCTCCTCCCCCTTTACTCCACATGCTGCGTCCTCGCTCCTCCCCCCCGCCTCCTGCCCACAGCAATCAGCTGGTTTGCGCCGAATCCTCACTCCTCCCCCCTCCCTCCTGAACACCGCAAACCAGCTGATTGCTGCGGGCAGTAGGCAGGGAAGCAGGGGAAAGGCACTGATCCACGGGGTCCACCGGCGGGCAGGAGGTGCTGGGTGGGGGGGCTGCCAGCTATGGACAAAGCAGGCAGCCAAACGACGTTATAGTGGAGCTTTGCACAACTTTAAACAAGCATGTTCTGTAATGGCGCAGGGATGTAAGATCGAAACATTAAGGGAGAGGATGTTAAGTGAGGAATTACTGTGCCTGTTAACAAGCATGTCTGTAACAATAGAGACACAAAAATTCCCCCAGCAGTAGAGAGTTAAAGAAACCCCTATGACAAACCAGTTCCTGTTTTCCTGCCCCTTTCACCTCCCCCCCCGCCGCAGCCCATCCAGGGGGCCGACACTCACAACCCCTCCATCCCAGGGCCCAGTCACAGCCCCTCCCCCAGCCAATACACCTGAACTCCCTCCCCCCAGAGCCCAGCTGTGGGGGGCCGGGCCCAGATACCCGCACTCCCTTCACCCCCAGAACCCAGCTATGGGAACCCCCCCTGGCCCGTATACCCATACTCCCTTCCCCCCAGAGCCCAGGTGTGGGGGCCCCCCAGGCTCGATACCTGCACCCCCGAGCCCATCCAGATACACGCACCCCCAGAGCCCAGCCACAGGGCCCCCCTTGCCCAGATACCTGCACCCCCTCCCCCTGAGCCCAGTTGTGGCCCACCCAGGGATCCAAAGGGAGAAACAGCCTGATGCTTCGTCCCAGGCTTGCACTCAGTTTCCTGTGCACCACCCTCTCTTTCCCTCAGGGCATGGTGAGAACTGCAGCTGTCAGGAACCCTCTAGCTCCCTTCCTCTTCCCGTGTCTTCTATATACAAACAGGGCTCTACTGGGTCCAGCAGCCCCCAGTGGCATCCAGCAGCACTGCAGCCCATTTCAGGAAATTCAGGAAATGAGAAGGGATATTCTGCACGCAGGTTAATTTCTGCAAAATTCTGCATTGCGCAGTGGCACAGAATTCCCCCAGGAATAATAGATGGATTGCATAGCTCCTGGGGAATCACATCACCCAATCTGTTTGGCTTGCACCTTTGTGTAACAGTCCAGAAGGGGTGTCTGTCACCATTCCATGTGGTTCACCAGTGTCTGAGGTACCTGTCCACATTACTTCAAAATGGAGTCTTTGAGGATAGCTACCTACATACTTTGGTCTCATACACACCGTCTTCTCAATGGTTGACAGGGAAAGTGAGAAATAAGTCTTCTGAATAGTAACTATAATCAAGAGGAGACATTGTTACCTCAGCTAGATTTCAGAGGATATCAGCCTCCGTGCACAGTTGTACCAATTCAGCAAATATTTATTGGGAATGAAGCTAGGCATTTCCCCTGCTTGGATCTCTTTAAAGGTTTTTGACTGTTTCTGAATATATATAGAACAGAATGTATATTACACACACATATACCCCTATTGCATTTCATGTTACCCATAGTGTGATTTCCAACAATCATTATTTTGACTAATTAACCCTTTCCTGGGTTTCCTTTTTCATTGTAGATATTTATCATTACTTGATCTATTTGCCACTCTTGCACCTTTGTTGTGGCATCTAAACATCAAACAGTCTGTCTTTATCTCACACCTATGTTTGTAGCTTCCCACAGATTAACTTCTCTCAGGTGTTCTTTTACCTGCAGCAACCACTGAACAGTTACAACAGCGTTGTACCAAGCCTGGCACAGCACAAAGCAGTTGTTCAGGCAACACCATTTTATACCTGTCAGGATTTCAAACGGTGCTATCCCCATTGTTCTATCTGGAGTAGCTCAAAGAGCTGTCAGTATTAAGGGAAATTTAATGTCCCAATCTTTTTTTATTTTCTTCAATGTGTTTAGTAAACATAAAATTTAAAGTGCTATTATTTCTTTCTCCCAATGTTGATGAGTATGGCTGATCAGTGATTTTTTTTCCTGTATTCCCAGCATTATTACGGTGTTACGCATTCTCTCACCACTAAAATGTGTTCCTTGATCTGAACCAGTTACCTGTGGGCATAGATGCTGACTCTGTGGGTGCTCCAGCACCCACTGGCAACCAAGTTCCCCCCTCTCCCTGCCCCCAGCACCTCTCCCCTGCTGATCACTCCTCCCCCTCCCACCCGCATCTCCCGCCTGCTGCAAACAGCTGTTTCACAGTGTGCAGGTTGGCTTTGGGAGGGAACGGAAGTAGTGAGGACATGGCACTCTCGGGATGGGGTGGAAAGAGGAGGGGCAGGGGCTTGAGAACAGGGGCGGGGCCTGGGCGGAAGGGGGGGGTCAAACACCCCCTGGGTAAAGGGGAAGTTGGTACCTATGCCTGTGGAAAGTTCACATCTGATAAAGCTTTGCTCAAGCAGAACTTTAACAGTAGCAACTGCCTCATTGTTTCTTATAGGGATCACTTCTACCCATTTGGAGAAAGCATCCACAATGACCAAGGTGTATAGATTTCCTCAGGCCATTTTTGGCAATGGGCCAATAAAATCAATTTGTAGTTGAATCCAGGAAATCAATTTGTTGATGTCTCCATTTTGCTTTTCTGTTGACAGGTTCAGAATTTACTTGGGCATAAACTAGAAAATTTTCTACATATTGCCTAACATCCTGATTTATCCATGCCAGCCAATCAATCTGCTGTATTCTTGACAGTATTTTTAATACCTTGATGGCTGCCAGTGGGTATATCATGACACATAAATAAAAGTGATTTTATATTTCTCTGGTACAATCCAAAATCATTGATCACTGGGTTTGGCTACCCAGATTGAGTCTCCATCACAGGGTTGTACAATCATTAAGGGACCTCCTTTCTATTCTTTTGAATCTCTGTCTGGGCTCAATTTAGCTGTGATAGGGTCTTGGTTTTACAATCTGGCCAAATCAATATTCCCCTGTTCAGGTTTACCAGCCCCAATGGGCACCTCAGGCTGTAGCATTTTCCACAGAGAAGCATCCACAGATGTTGTCTTGGCTTCCAACTCAGCCTCTGAGTTCCAGCATGCTCTGGGGGAATTTTTCACCTGTGCCTTTACCTTTACTACAGCCAGCGGGGCAGCCTTAGCTCTTTTAGTTGCCAGATTTTTTTATATGTAATATTTTGTAGTGGGAACGCATATTTTGTAGTGGGAACAGGAGCTTGGCTTGTTTAGCCTAACTAAAAGAAGGTGGAGGGGAGAAATGATTGCTCTCTATAAATATATCAGAGGGATAAATGCCAGAGAGGGAGAGGAATTATTTAAGCTCAGTACCAACGTGGACACAAGAACAAATGGATATAAACTGGCCACCAGGAAGTTTAGACTTGAAATTAGACGAAGGTTTCTAACCATCAGAGGAGTGAAGTTTTGGAATAGCCTTCCACGGGAAGCAGTGGGGGCAGAAGATCTATCTGGCTTTAAGATTAAACTCAATAAGTTTATGGAGGAGATGGTATGATGGGATAACATGATTTTGGTAATTAAATATTCATGGTAAATAGGCCTAATGGCCTGCGATAGGATGTCAGATGGGGTGGGATCTGAGTTACCCAGGAAAGAATTTTCTGTAGTATCTGGCAGGTGAATCTTGCCCATATGCTCAGGGTTTAGCTGATCGCCATATTTGGGTTTGGGAAGGAATTTTCCTCCAGGGAAGATTGGAAGAGCCCCTGGAGGTTTTTCGCCTTCCTCTGTAGCATGGGGCACAGGTCACTTGCTGGAGGATTCTCTGCTCCTTGAAGTCTTTAAACCATGATTTGAGGACTTCAATAGCTCAGGCATAGGTGAGAGGTTTTTCGCAGAAGTGGGTGGGTGAAATTCTGTGGCCTGCGTTGTGCAGGAGGTCAGACTAGATGATCATAATGGTCCCTTCTGACCTTAGTATCTGTGAATCTATGAAGGGTTTACCATACCTAGAGTGAAATCCATGGTAAATCCAGTATGGCAATCACTTAGTCAATGCTTTGCACATCCGCAGTATTCAAACGAAGCCAAGCAACCACTTTAGACACAAATTTGGGGAATGGTCATAAAATCACTTGTTCTTGGAGATTTGTGAATAAGGAGGTTCTGGCATCAGAGCCTGCAACTCTCAAACTCTCCTTACAGACCACTGAGCTGCAAGCAGAACGAAGCATCTTTGCTGCTACCAAGTGCACTGCCTGGTCATGAGACCACAGTCAGATTCCAATAAATTACTGGTACGAGGCAAGCAAAAAATTCAACTTCAGTAAGAGAAGTGACCAGAAATGACCATGCATACCAAGAAATAGCAGACAACCTGGCTGCACTGGGAATTCAACAGCACTGGTCACCAGTCTGGGAGTAGAGTAAGCAGCTCAGGAGAGACTACCAGAAAGCCAGGGGTGAGAACACCTCTGGGAACTCCCTGTCATCCTGTCTCTTTTGAGGACTTTGCCTGGGTGCTGGGAACTGCATCAAGCACTGAGTCCCCAGTGGTTTATGATAGCCTGATCAGCCAGAGTCGTGACCTTCTGACCCCCAAATCTAGTACCAGCCCAGAGAGGAGCCAACAGGTGCCTCATAGATCAAGCCAGCAAAGTGACTCTGGGGTTCCAACCAATCCCCGAAGAAACTGTGCCACTGGAGCAGATGCAGCATGTCCTGGGCCCATACTCGGAGGAGCTGTTTGATGACCCCCTTGGAAGAACAGCCTGCTGCAAAACCAGCAGCAAAAACAGAAAAGGAAGAAAAAGCCCCGAAGGCTGGTAAGTGTTTGGCTCCTTTTTTATTGTTAATGATAATAGTCAAATGGGAGGGATTTCCAGTTTATGACCCATTGCACTTTTTATTACAGGACATAAGTAGTCATGTGTATCTACTAATGGTGGAATGTACCCCAGCATCTTGGCATCACTTTCCACACCACCACCACACGGCATTCAAAATGGAGACCAAGAAACACAAACAACTGTTAAACAAGCATTTAACTTTAAAGTTTTTTTAGATACTTGCAAATGCTTAAAGATGTGCTGGGGCGTTAAAAGAAAGAATACTGCCTTCCCTTTTAGTATGCCATAGCGTAACAAGCTACCTGTAAACTGTACATGAAGGTTGGGGAAAATGTAGAGAGTGGGTGAGTAAATCAATGTCTGAAATACCCCAGGGTGTGTGTGTGGGGGGGGGAATTGTGTGCAGTATACAAATATATTGGGCAAAGGGGGGTGACTGTCCATGTAGTTCTTTGAGAGTCCATATTGTCAGATGTGTTTGCATGTAGTCCATAGTATATTTAGTCAGAGCAGGCTGCGTTGTAAGCTATAGGGAGACAGTAAACCGTGTGGATGCTAACACGGCATCCTGTTGATTTCCCTTTAATTTTGACCCAATCCTGGGTGCTGATAGTTGCAAACTTTTCGCAGAGTAGGAATTCCCAATGGGTAGTCTCATTTCAGGAAAGGGTATATTTTCTGGGCTCTCCTAATCAGGACTGTGGTCCACCCCACTCATAGATGTGCTGCTCAGTCACCATAAGCTTGAAACCTCTGTAGCATAGACAGCTGGCTTACCACTGGTAGCATGGCATAAAATCTCTTTGGCATTCAGGAAACTCCAGGATTGTCATGTCCCCCAGACTGTGGAATGCCTGAAAGGACTGAGAAACCTTAGGTAGTAAACCATGGCATAACCCCACTGCCCCTGGCTACAACAGTCTGCAATTTTTAAACATATAGCATTTGTAAATGTCATCTTACCATTATGTGTGCACTCTTTTCACTCTGCTTAACTCAATTATGGCCATGGAGCTTCTAGGAACAGAAGTATTCATCTGAGAACATAGTGAAGCTGAGTTTTACAAAGTATCATTTTTTTGGCTTTGAGATTCCACAGGCACTTTTTTCTGAGGATGCACTGAACTTTTTTTTGAAGTACTGAGACAACGTACTGTTTGATGTCTGCTTTCAGGCACTTCCACCTCTGCCGCCCAGCCACGGTCCAGCAGGAGCCTGGGATTTTGAACGGTCAAGGAGTGGCCAAAGAGGAGGCATTTCTGTAATTAACTCATAGTGGACATCCTGAATGGAGTCAACAAGCAGACACAATACTAAAGGGGAAAGGATTCATAGGAGTGGAAAGGCACAGACAGTCTGTAGAGCACACTGATAGATTTTCAGCGCAGCTTCTGGAGCAGGAATGTTGCTTGAGGGAGGAAGACTGAATACAGCAGAAAACCCGGTTTGAGCAGCTGCTTGTGCTAATGGCTGCAAGAGTGCAAGCTCCTGTTCCACTCACACCAGGTCCTGAGACCACTCCTCCATGTCCTACAACCCAGGATCGCACTGCACAATGCCATAGTTGGGCGGCCCATGAACCGGGACTCCATGCTTGTTGGACAGGGCAAATGTACCCCCAGAAGTCCTCTACCTCTCCGCAACAGCACCCAGTGCATGCTACTTGTGCTAGAAAGGAAAAGGAGAACAGGGGGCCAGAGACCGGCAAAAATAGGAAACTGGTTTCAGTGTTTTGCACTGTTTCATGTTCGCTATATGCACTTTATTTTATTACTGGTTTTAGTCTTCGTTTATTAGTGGTGTTTCATATTGTTCATAAAGAAAGACTTTTATTTTATTAAGAAAATTTATTACTCCTGGGGGAATTCTGCACAAAAAAATTTAAAAATTCTGCACACAATATTTTAAAATTCTCCATATTTTATTTGTCAAAATAATACAATATAATCACTCCAGTTTCAATTATTTTGGTAATTTATTTCAAAACACCTGTCAACAATACAAACAGCAAAAAACATTCCCCCAGGAGTAAAGTGTTAAAGAAACCCCTACCACAACCCAGTTCCAGTTGGGGACTGCTCAAGGAAAACTGTGTGGTGCCCCCAGATCCCAGACACCTGCACTCCCATCCCTCCAGACCCCCTGGCACAGACACCCACACCTCCTTCCCCCCACAGTCCAGCCACGGGACACCTCCCAGCCCAGACACCAGTATCCCCCCTCCCACCAGAGCCCAGCCATGGGGCAGCCCCCTGACACGAGTCCCCACATCCCACAGAGTCCAGCCACTCACGCCCCCCACCTCCTATGCCCCCCCTCCCGCCCAGCTGCGGAGTAGCCCCTGGCCCAGACACCAGCCCCCACTCTCCACGGAGCCCAGCCGCGGGGCAGCTCCCAGCCCAGACACCAGCACCCTTTACTTCCCCCAATTTCTTTACCCTCCAGCTAGGGGATGTGGTGTGGCCCTGCCCTTCCTCACCTTTTGCGACAGCTGGCTGGGTCTCCCAGACCCTCCCATCCCTGGGAGAATGAAGATCAAACAGCATGCAGCCTCCAGCCCTGTTATAGTCTTGGCCTTCACATCTTCTGGCAAAGATTCCACAGATTGACTGTGCACTGTGTGAAAAAATACTTCCTTTTGTTTGTTTTTAAACCTGCTGCCTATTAATTTCATTTAGTGACCCCTTGTTCATGTGTTACGAGCAGTAAATGACACTTCCATATTTATTTTCTCCACACCAGTCATGATTTTATAGACCTCTATCATATTCCCCCTTAGTCGTCTCTTTTCCAAGCTGAAAAGTCCCAATCTTATTAATCTCTCCTCATATGGAAACTGTTCCATACCCGTAATCAGTTTTGTTGCTCTTTTCTTTACCTTTTCCAATTCCAATATATATTTTTAGAGATGGGGTGACCACATCTGAACACAGTATTAAAGATGTGGGCATATCATAGATTTATATAGAAGCAATATGATATTTATTCTTATTATTGATCCCTTTTTAATGATTCCCAACATTGTTAGCTTTTTTGACTGCCACTGCACGTTGAGTGGATGTTTTCAGAGAACTATCCACAATGACTTCATGTTGACTCTTCCCCAGCAAATCATGTTAATCTGTGTCTGACAATTCTGTTCTTTTTTCAACCAGTTTGCCCACGACTGAAGTTAGGCTTACCAGCCTGTAATTGTCAGGATCACCTTTGGAGCCTTCTTAAAAAATTAGTGTCATATTAGCTATCCTCCAATCACCTGGTACAGAAGCTGATTTAAATGACAGGTTACATGCAACAGTTAGTACTTCTGCAATTTCACATCTGAGTTTCCACCTAGCATTGGTCAGAAGACAGGATACTGGGCTAGATGGACCTTTGTTCTGTCCCAGGACGGCAATCCTTAAGTTCTCACTAGCATCTGGTCCTGCTGACCTATTACAAGTCATCAAGAACACTATCCTGGATAATGTCACGGCTAACCTGGTGGCTGAACTTTGTGACTTTGTCCTTACACTATGGATGTAGAAGCCCTCTACACCAACATTCCACACAAAGATGGACTACAAGCCATCAAGAACATTATCCCCGATAACGTCATGGCTAACCTGGTGGCTGAACTTTGTGACTTTGTCCTTACCAATAACTATTTTACATTTGGGGACAATGTATACCTTCAAATCAGCGGCACTGCTATGGGTACCCGCATGGCCCCACAGTATGCTAACATTTTTATGGCTGACTTAGAACAACGCTTCCTCAGCTCTCATCCCCTTACGCCCCTACTCTACTTGCGCTATATTGATGACATCTTCATCATCTGGACCCATAGAAAAGAAGCTCTTGAGGAATTCCACCATGATTTCAACAATTTCCATCCCACCATCAACCTCAGCCTGGTCCAGTCCACACAAGAGATCCACTTCCTGGACACTACAGTGCTAATAAACGATGGTCACATAAACACCACCCTATACCGGAAACCTACTGACCACTATTCCTACCTACATGCCTCCAGCTTTCACCCTGACCACACCACACGATCCATCGTCTACAGCCAAGCTCTGCGATACAACCGCATTTGCTCCAACCCCTCAGACAGAGACAAACACCTACAAGATCTCTATCAAGCATTCTTACAACTACAATACCCACCTGCGGAAGTGAAGAAACAGATTGATAGAGCCAGAAGAGTTCCCAGAAGTCACCTACTACAGGACAGGCCTAACAAAGACAATAACAGAACGCCACTAGCCGTCACCTTCAGCCCCCAACTAAAACCCCTCCAACGCATTATCAAGGATCTACAACCTATCCTGAAGGATGACCCAACACTCTCACAAATCTTGGGAGATAGGCCAGTCCTTGCCTATAGACAGCCCCCCAACCTGAAGTGAATACTCACCAGCAACCACGTACCACACAACAGAACCACTAACCCAGGAACCTATCCTTGCAACAAAGCCCGTTGCCAATTGCCCACATATCTATTCAGGGGACACATCACAGGGCCTAATAACATCAGCCACACTATCAGAGGCTCGTTCACCTGCACATCTACCAATGTGATATATGCCATCATGTGCATTGGTCAAACTGGACAGTCTCTACGTAAAAGAATAAATGGACACAAATCAGATGTCAAGGATTATAACATTCATAAACCAGTCAGAGAACACTTCAGTCTCTCTGGTCACATGATTACAGACATGAAAGTTGCGATATTACAACAGAAAAACTTCAAATCCAGACTCCAGCGGGAGACTGCTGAATTGGAATTCATTTGCAAATTGGATACAATTAACTTAGGCTTGAATAGAGACTGGGAGTGGCTAAGTCATTATGCAAGGTAACCTATTTCCCCTTGTTTTCCTAACCCCCCCCCCCCCCCTTCTTGTTAAACCCTGGATTTGTACTGGAAATGGCCCACCTTGATTATCATACATATTGTAAGGAGAGTGATCACTTTACATAAGCTATTACCAGCAGGAGAGTGGGGTGGGGAGAGAGAAAACCTTTTGTAGTGATTAACACCCATTTTTTCATGATTTGTGTGTATAAAAACATGCTCTGTATTTTCCACAGTATGCATCCGATGAAGTGAGCTGTAGCTCATGAAAACTTATGCTCAAATAAATTAGTTAGTCTCTAAGGTGCTACAAGTACTCATTTTCTTTTTGTTTAGTTTATGAATTTGTTCCAAAACCACTTCTGGGACAGTTTAGTTTATCAATTTGTTCCAACGCCTCAATCTGGGACGGTTCCTCAGATTTATCACCTAAAAAGAATGGCTCAGGTTTGGAAATCTCCCTCAGATATATCCTAGAAAAGCTCCAGGCCCAGCTTGGTCCTTGCCCCAACGCATACAGCCTAGCAGCCCCCAGAGCCCTGGCCTCCGAAGGCGGCCGCTGTGGAGAAGGGAGTCCCCAGAGCCCTGACTCCAGCTGCGGGGGAGGCCGGGGCTCTGGGGGCTGCTAGGCTCCCTGGGGCGAGGCAGCTGCCTTTGCAACACTGGCAGGTTTCCACCATAAACTTGCTTGTGTTTTGGCAAGAGTCTCGTGGCCTCTGCAGTAAGTTAGGCGAAGGGCCGGCACTACCTGCAAGGCTTCCCACCCTTACCGAGAGACGCTGGGCCAATAAAAGTTATTCCCTCAGCCGCCTGCTCGCCTGTAAATTTGCTCCAGCAAATCAGCCTTTCCCCGCCAAACGGAGCGTATCCGACCGGCTCCCTCGCCCCCCACGGCAGCGCCAGCGGCCGCCGCGCCGAGCGGCTGGGGAACAAAGGGCCGCACGTCACAAATCCCCCGCGTCCCCCCTGGCTGAGCGCCGACCGCGGGCGCTGGCGGGCAGGGGAGTGCGGGGCTGGCCCGGCCAGAGCGGCGCTAGGGAGCCGGGACAGGCCCGCTCTCACTGGCGGGCTCGCCAGGGCTGCAGGCTGGGACTCAGCGAGGCCGGGTGTCAGCAGCGCCGCCCGCCCCGCCCCGCCCCGCGTGGAGGCCACGGCCGGGCTGCTGCGGCCTTCCCTGGAGCTGAGCCGGGGGCGGGGCCGCGCGGCCTGTCAGACGCCCGGCCGCCCACAGGCCCCTGCGCACGCGCCGTGCTGCTCTCCCAGCTATGGCCGCGCTACGGCCCCTGCGGCGGCTCCTGCCGCTCTCCGGGACGCGGCTGGTCCGGCCCCGCTCGGCCGGCGCCCCCAGCTCCGTGCCCGAGCGCATCGCCGAGAAGCGTCGCGCCGCGCTGCTGGGGGGCGGCCAGGCCCGCATCGATGCGCAGCACAAACGGGTGAGCACTTCGGCCGGCCTGGCCTCCCCCGACGCAGGCGTGTCGTCCCGTCCCCCCCCGGCGCCTCTCCCTGATCCCCGCCGGTACCCCTGGCCCGGACACCCGCCCCTCCCCCCGGTGTCCGACCCTGATCCCCTGGCCCGGACACCCGCCCCTCCCCCCGGTGTCCGACCCTGATCCCCGCCGGTACCCCTGGCCCGGACACCCTCCCCTCCCGCCGGTGTCCGACCCTGATCCCCTGGCCCGGACACCCGCCCGTCCCCCCGGTGTCCGACCCTGATCCCCTGGCCCGGACACCCGCCCGTCCCCCCGGTGTCCGACCCTGATCCCCTGGCCCGGACACCCGCCCGTCCCCCCGGTGTCCGACCCTGATCCCCTGGCCCGGACACCCGCCCCTCCCCCCGGTGTCCGACCCTGATCCCCGCCGGTACCCCTGGCCCGGACACCCGCCCCTCCCCCCGGTGTCCGACCCTGATCCCCTGGCCCGGACACCCGCCCCTCCCCCCGGTGTCCGACCCTGATCCCCTGGCCCGGACACCCGCCCCTCCCCCCGGTGTCCGACCCTGATCCCCGCCGGACCCCTGACCGTCCCCTGGCCCGGACACCCGCCCCTCCCCCCGGTGTCCGACCCTGATCCCCGCCGGTACCCCTGGCCCGGACACCCGCCCCTCCCCCCGGTGTCCGACCCTGGTGTCCGACCCTGATCCCCTGGCCCGGACACCCGCCCCTCCCCCCGGTGTCCGACCCTGATCCCCTGGCCCGGACACCCGCCCCTCCTCCCGGTGTCCGACCCTGATCCCCGCCGGTACCCCTGGCCCGGACACCCGCCCCTCCCCCCGGTGTCCGACCCTGATCCCCGCCGGTACCCCTGGCCCGGACACTAGCCCCCGCCGCCAGCATCGCTCCTCCCCACCCCGGTCCTTACCTGATCCCCGATAGGGTGACCACACAGGAAGTTTATAAATCGGGACAGGTATGGGGGATAATAGGGGCCTATATAAGACAAAGCCTTGAATATCGTGACTGTCCCTATAAAATTGGGACATTTGGTCACCCTGATCCCTGATGATACCCCCTGGCCCTGACCCCAGCCCCTCTGCCAGCATCGCCCCCACCCATGCCTGACCCCGATCCTGTCCCTCTTCCACACTCCCTTCCTCCCCCAGCACCTGACCCTGGTCCCTGACAATACCCCCTAGCCCCTGACAGCAGCCTTCTTCTCCAGCCCCTGATTCTAGCCTCCCCTTCCGGACCCTGAGAACAACCCCACTCTTATATCCCGAGTCTTCCCCTGATCCCAACCCTTTCCTCCCCCGATCTGGCCCCTGACACTGGCCCACCCCTGAGACTGCTTCCCCTCCCACCAGCCCCTGACACCACCAACCCCTGAGACTGATTCGCCCCCAATTCCTTCCCAGTCTTCTGACCCTACTCCCCACCACCTCTCCCTGACACCCCTCCCCCCCAGTACAGACACTGACCCCTGCAGCCACCTCCTGATGGCTGTGACCTCTCCCTGCACTGATTCCATCACCCACTCACCCACCAGGCACCCAGCCCTGACCTTCTCTGGGATCAGTGACCTGCCCCTGTATGACCTGAACCCTCTATCCTCAGCTTGGCAGTGTCCCCATGGGGCTGGCACCCCTATCCCTGCCAATGGGGTCTGGGTGATTGTCTCTCTCCTAGCAGGATGGGCTATGGGGGGACGAGTCTCCACTTGCTCTCGAGAAGAGGCGCTAGTTATCAATGGACTCCCTGCCATTATGTCCCCAACCCACGTTTTTATTAAAGAATTGTAGCAGCACTCTCTCCAAACCATAAGACTGCAGAGGTCAATGTATGCAATGTGAAGGACACAAATAGTCAGATCTGCATTAAGGAGCACATTCCACAGGCAGCCCTGTTCTTAAGTAACCCTAAAGTTGCCAGCACAATTTTGTTTGACCTTAACAGATTGTTTCTATCAGGAACATTATTTTTGTTGATACGATCAATAGTTGTTCATAACAGGCTTCACTGTACATATTCTGCTGATGGAGGTCTTTGATGAGTTACCCTGCTGGACCTGTGTTTCTGGGTACCAGCCACTATGACATACCAGGGCACAATCCAGACTAATGAGTAGCTGTTTCACCCCTGGACTGTAACCTGGAGTGCCCTTTACAATGTGTTGCTGCTTGTAGCTTTCAACCTGGATTGCTAACAAACAACCTCCAGCATGGAAATCACTCTCAGCTATGTCTATGTATGTGTGCTGCAGCCGGCTAGCCACACTCTGGCTCTTACCAGCCTTGATTATGTTGCAGGGTGACCCCAATACATCACCAGTCCCAGATCTTCCCACAGAAATGTTTGTCCTGTACTGCCCAGTCCTCTCCTGAAATCTGTTATTCCTTGAAGGGAACACAGAACCTAAGTTGAGACTTCACAGTTGATGAGTCTTCTCAGACATGGTTCCCTTTCTCCAGGAATGTCTCAGGCCCCATGAGCAGCATGCAGAAAACCACTTTCTTGGATGTACTCGTGCCCAAGGATACTTAACACTGGGTTGCCTCATTGGAGCATCTAATCTGATCTGATCCATGGATACTGGGAGCCACAGACTTGGATGACTGAATTTTTTAGTTTTAGCCACATCATTGAAGAGAGGCCAAACCTTGTTCATGAGGCAGGCCATCAGAATGGTCATAAATGTCTTGAAGTGCACACACCTTTTCTTGTACAGATTATACTATATGTTCCTCTCTGCTCCGAGAAATCAGAGATCTGATCTCATTAAACTCTGTGCAATCTTTAGTGCTATTTTTCACCCATATAACCTAATATGCCTTTCCAGTGTAATTTATAGCCAGGAATGATGGAATCCCATTGATTATTTTGTTTCTCATTCTGCCATATTTCAATATTGTTCATTGTGTCTCAGTCATCTTCTACTGTCAAGCATTCCATTTTACCTTTGTTTGATTTTAAGTTGCGTAGACATTTATTGTTTTATTTTTGACCATGTACCTATTTTACCAAACTCCTTAGTTTGGCACCGTTTTCAGAATTTACCCATTCCTGCTTCAGTTCAGCTGTAATTTCTGGTCAGTCCTTTACTGGGTGCAGAGCTACATTTGTATTACTGACAACCCTAACCAGATCCCCTTGTCTATCTTGTGTTCTCATCAGCTATCTCTCAGTACAAGGATGATATCTGCCAGGGTGAAAAGTCATTGATGAGACTTAAGATGGCTGAGGAGTCCAATTCATGCTTTATAGGTTTTTCCACATATGTGACAAGTGATTGCTTTGAAAGAGCACAACTGCTGGCTAGGATGCTATAGCTTTTCCTTCCTCCTCTGCTGTTTCTCAGCCTCTTGAGCAAGGCGATTGTCTTCAAAACCGGATGAGGGTTGATGTGTGATGCAGTACCACTGCAGTGTGTTGCCAGTCAGCTCTTCCCAATTCATGATCACTGCCTCCTTTCTTCAGATATACTTACAGGGTGTTCTTGCAGCATTTCCTCTGTCCCCACCATGGGTTCTCTTATCATGGATAAGTTGAGAAAAGAGGTTGTGCTTCAGAAGACAAGTATCAGCCATCTGCACACAATGACCAGCCCAGTGAAGTTGATGTTTCATACTCTTCGCCTCAGCACTGGTGATGTTAGCTGCAGAGAGAACACTGGCATTGGTGCGATGGTCTTCCCATCTGATACTGAGAAGCCTCCTAAGGTAGCACTGTTGGTACCATTCCAGATGCTTAAGATGGCTTCGGTATGTCACCCATGTCTTGCACCCATAAAGAAGAGTGGGGATGATTACTGCATTGTAGACCAGGATCTTAGTTTCCATCCGCAGATCTCTGTCAATAAAGACATAACGGAGCAATGTTCCAAAGATATGCTGGCACAACAGATCCTATGTTCAATCTCCACATCAAGATTGGCTATCTGGGCTCAACGTTTTCTAGGGGTTCACCACTAATGACAGTTTGTAGGAGAACGGGGGCAACTTGTGCTGGGGCAGGCTGGTGGAGCACCTTAGTCTTCCGAGTATTGAGGGAAAGTCCCAGGCTATGATAGGTGCCTGAGAAGAGGTCTAGGTGGGTTGCAAGTCAGCCTTAGTGTGTGCGAGGACAGCACAGTCGTCCCCATACTGAAGGACAGTAATAATAGTCCTGGTGACTTTAGTTTGAGAATGAAGACATCGCAAATTGAAAAGCAGGCCATCCATGCAATACTCATCCCATCATAGAGTAGCCTGGGAACATGAATGAACTTCAATGAACTACTGAACCTAGTCAGCACCTTTGATAATGCTTCACAATTGATTGAATCAAAGGCCTTAGATCAATAAATGCCATAAAGAATGGCTGGTGTCGTTCTCTACACTTCTCTTGGATCTGTTGTGCAAAAAAACCATGTTGGTGGTGCCCCATGACAGTCTGAAACCACATTGGGATTCCTGAAGGACGTCTTTGGCAAGAGGAAGGAGACAGTTCAAAAGGATGCGAGCAAGGATCTTCCCAGCAATGGAGAAGAGGGCAATATCTTGGTAATTCCCGTACACTGGTTTGTCCCCTCTATCTTGTGTACTGTTGAGTTGATGTGGTTGTGGGGGGAGGGGCTTCAGGCCCAACAAGGGATAAAATGTTAATAATAGGCACCCACTGTGGAACTGGAAGCGTGTCAGGGAATCCTACCCGTAGAAGCCC